AGGCCTTCCTTCAGTGCTAAGAGTGACCAAATGGTGAACTGGTTTTATTTTAGCTAAATGACGCTTCTAGGTTAAGTAGTTACACAGACTCCTTTTCAGTATTTTGTTTCCCCCAAAGAATATAAAGATAAACCTTAGCTAAGTCTTTGTAATTATGTTGCATAAGGACAATCTTCTATGGGCTCTCCCAGTGCAATTAAATGCAACAGGCCATGACCTGGTGTGACACAGCCCAGAGGAGGGAAGAGGCATGAAAGACCAGAGAGCGTGAGGTCTGGAGGCCCAGGCTCACTGCAGAGCCCTGGGCGCCAGCACTGAGCTCTGAGTTTCATGCTTCCTGAGGGCAGAACCTACTTCGTGTCCTCTGAGCATGTAGCTCAGTGCTTAACGCAGAACACACACACTCTAGAAATATCTGCTGGTGAATGGGTAAATAAACGCGATATAAGACAGAAAATCATGGCAACACGGAATCCCCTCCGCCCAGCTCCCTCTACAGAAAGTGCACGCTTTCCAAAGTGCACCATCTCTTACAGCCAGGCATAGCCATATGTCTGGCCGCCTCGCCCCAAGTCCCAGATCACTGGAGGGCGCAGAGGTACTTACAGCCCCACAGTTGGGCATTTCACAGATGAAGGAGCCGGAGGGCTGGCTGAGGGCCTGCAGGGGAGGCCCCTCTGCGGGAGCCAGGACAGGGCCTGGCTGTGGCTCTGGGGACTTGGGCACTTCACTCTCCTCTTCTCTTGTGGATTTCCTATCCTCTTCCTGGTCCTCCTCCTCTTCCTCCAACTCGTCGTCGTCTTCACTCGTCTAGTATTCAAGCAATAAAAGCAAAAGGGGGAAGAGTCCCCAAATGGCATTTTCAGTGACGAACAGAACCCATAGGCCGGGAGGTGGGGACTACAGCCGCTCCAAGGTTGGTCACTGGATGCTTTGAATTCTCTCCCCTGCCCCATTCTGGGTCCCCTATGACTTATATAAAAATATTTTAAGGCAGGGAGGAGAGATTTCTGTATGTAGAGTTTCTCTCCCTTGTTCGAGACCAGCAGACCTTAAAATGGACTAAAATCCAGGCAGGCTGCCCCACCTCTGTTTGTCTGCCCTGCTCTCTGTCCCCAGAGCCGTGTGGAGGGTTTTCCGGCACTAACAATACTGTAGGACCCTTTGGAGAGAGACTAAAGACCTGTCCTGATTTGTTTTATGGGCCTTGTAACCCTCTTCCATGCAAGATGCCTGAGATGTTGACTTGGCCTGTGGAAAGCAAGGGACGCCGGGGCCCCCAAGCGCCCCTGCTCTGATCCTGCCAGAAGAGAGAATCAAAGAGAGCACCATATTGACTTTGAAAAGGAAAGAAAATGGAAGGGAATAGTCCCTTTTATTTATTATGTGCCTTTCTCTTTTTTTTTTCTTGAAGATTTTATTTATTTATGAGAGGGGAAGGGAGGGGGAGAAACATCAATCGGTTGCCTCTTGCACAGTCCCCAGCTGGGGGCCTGGCTCACAACCCAGGCGTGCGCCCTGACTGGGAACCAAACGGGCGACCTGTCAGTTTGTAAGCTGGCGCTCAACCCACCGAGCCGCACCAGCCAGGGCTGTCATGTGCTTTTTTTATCCTGGTTTCTGATCATAGGCTTGTAGAAATGCCTTCCCGAGGCAGTCTACGAAAAAGAACAAGCAAAATCTTCTCCATGAGTAATTACCCTCTTTGCTGCTGTGTCCCCTCCCTCTACTTCCGAATAGCAACCAGGTGAGGCATTAAGCACGAGGTCCTTGAATTACGCAGGAGGTCAGCGCCTTCCTCAAGTTTAACAAGATAATGAATTAATGGAGCAGTTGGAGTAGGCACCCCGGATGGGTTGGGGATGGAGGGCAGGGATTTAGGAGCCCCTCATCCTGCCTCCTGTGTAACTGAAGACATTCTGCTCTCTGTCCTCATGGAAGTGGCGGTGCGGTGAGGGACGCTGGCTCCTCCAGGCCCACGAAGGCCTGGGGACCGTGGAAAGAGAGCGCTATGTTCCATCAGCTTCATTTCAGCTTCTGCTTTACAGCAATTTACAGTTTACAAAGTGCTTTCACATATGCCATATCACTGAATAGTCTGTAAACAGTCCCCTTGATTTACAAACATGGGAACAAAAGGTATGCCCAACTGAAGGGGCATTGTCTCTGCCACGTGCTCTCTCTCCGTATTTTTTTTATCTTTTTAAAGTCAATTTATTGGGTTGACATCGATTAATGAACTACAACAGGCTTCAAGTATACAATTCCATGACACATCATCTGCATACTGCGCTGTGTGTTTTGCACCCAAAGTCAGGTCTTCTTCCATCACCAGGTATCCGACACCGCCACGCTCTCTTCGTGCTCCCACTGCTTACAGCGCGAGGGATCCCCACAGTGACGTGACTCTGGGTGAGCCTGTGACTCTTAGGACCCAGGAGCAACACTATCCGAGAAGAGTAAAGACTTCTGAGAGCAGTGGTGCCCTGAGATCCTGAAACCACAAGCTTCCTCTCTCCGGTTAGGACTGGGGCTGGGGAGAAGGGTGACACCGGTTAAGCACGGGGCCTTAGCACGCCCCCCACTGGCCCAGCAGAGACAATTTCCTCACAACGACGCTTTCTGGTTAAGTGAGAAGAAGCGTTCCGTGTAGCCACAAAATTACAGATTCGATTATACTGTACTGTGGCGGTATATGTCTCAGAAATTTAGATAGGTTTTATTTCAACTGGCGATCTATACATGTTCACAAAATGACTTATCATTAGGCCAAATGGATCACCCAAGTGACTAAGAGACACAAAAATAGGAGGACAAAAGTCCTAACATGCAGAACTTCCTATCAGCAAGTTGGCCATTTTGTGATGTATGGTGAAATGATTTTGGTAATATTCCAAAATCGGTAGAAGGTGGGCAAATACAGGACAGGGAGGTGGTTCTATATTTAATATGGTGCTCAAAACCTGGAGTGTCTACAGTAAGGGTTTCTTTTTAAAAAATAATTAAATTTATTGGGGTAACTGGTTAATAACATTATATAAATTTCAAGAGTTACTTGAGGTGGAGAATATTTTTATTTCCCAGGTACGCAAATAAAATTCATATTATGAGAAATTTGTAAGTTAAAATACAAATGTTCAATAACCTGTATTTACTCCAAGACACAAATTTGCGTGTCACAGTCACTGATGATGACAATATAAAACGACTGCTATGAGTCAGGCTTTACACACACAGGTTTCTGGTTCTCACAACAACCCTGTACAAATTTTTCTTTTTTACACAAATGAAGAAGTTGGCCAGAGAACTAATTTTCCCAAAGTCACGTGGCTGGTATAGAAGATAAACTGAGATTTAAAACCTGAGGCGCTTAGACCACGGGTGAACTTTGCTCTTTGAGCCCTGGCCACTATCTTTCCAAGTTAGTTAACTGGGTCAGTCAGTTTTTCGAACCATGTTCAATTCTGGTCACGGCCAGACCACAGATTTGTCAGGAGTGGGAGCACGAGGATGGACACGGCGCAGGAAGGGGTGGTCAGCACAGTCTACTGCCACCTCCTTAATCGAGCCCATCTCAGCCCCTTCTTCTGCCTGCAAGGGTGGGAGGGCCCACGGTGGCTTCAGGCCAGAAGGCACACTGCTCTGCAGGTTCCCTAAAGAGCTGTCATTCCTCACAAACTCTCCTTCTTTCCCTCTCCCCCAACACAAGTCCCTAAGCCACCCACACATGTTCCATCTGGGTGGGAATGACCATCTGTCCCTTTAATAAAACACTGAGGACACACAATCAGGAGAGCTATCCCAGGGTATCAGGCCCTGGTCTTAGGAGAGTGACTTCTGCACCCTCCCCAGTCCTTGCACAGTCCTAATTTGTCACCTGTAAACTATCATCAGACAGCTGCACCTTCACAGTGCCCTAAAGGGAGCTGTGAGCTGCCACATTGGCCTGAGACCAAGGTTTTCTTGTTTCTGCGAGCCTGAGCCATCTCTGTACCTCGCTTTTTGTTTTCCCTAAGCTCAGAGGTCACAAGGGTGTGGATGCTCCTGAGCCAGCCTAATACTGGCTGCTGGCGATTAACCCGAGAAGGTGTGGCCCCTTGGGCGCCATCTTAACCTCTCTTCCTCCTGAAGTTACGCGTGGCCTGCCCTTTCCACCCACCTTCAAAGCCCCGATGGCCCAAGTCAGTGCCTCTGCCTTGCGTGGTACCATCTTCTTTAGCAGTCAGTACTCCTCTGCTCAGAATCCAGTTGCTCCTGTCTCCCTCCAGTGAGTTTATAGAGGGGTTGTTACTATGCACCTCAGAAAAATGTTTATTCCTTCATTCTCTAAATATTTGTTGAGTGCCTCTATTATGGAGACACAGTCCTAGGCAACTGATAATACCCAAGCCAAAGAGATACCAATGTGTCTTAGGAAACCCTATCCTCTGCTTTTGCCCTCTTCCAAAACATGGCTCTCAGAGAGTCCCAAACATTTCAGAATTGGTAGGGGCTTTCCAAATCATCTAAGTCATTGTACTCATTGTACAGCCTAGGAGTCATTGTACTCATTGTACAGCCTAGGAGTCAGGTCCTAGGTCTCCAAGGCCAGGGTTCTTTGTGCTTTCTTGTTTACTGTTTATTTGACCCATTTGGAAAGCAATGCTCCGTGTGATCTGGGGCAAGCCTCTGCCCCTCTCTGGGCCTCAAACTTCTGGCTGTGGCGTGGTGGAGCCAGATGAGAAAGAGACCATGGCTAGATCTAAGGCCATGGCTGAGAACTTTGGTTCTCATTTCATTTTGCTTTTAAACACTCTTGGAGCTCCCAGTAAACTTTCCACTTGTGTATGCCACATCTCCCAACTAGCATATATGCTCACCTGGGGGAAGTAGGGGCAGAGGCCAGTTAACACCCCTGACTCACCCAATGCACTACATACATATTGCTGTTTACATTGCGGGAACACAATCGGTTTTAGTTCATTGAAGCAGATGAGGCCACACTGCTTATTTATTTTTTCCACTGTGCAACCCACTTCAGTGCCTGCAGCCTATAGGCAGAGGCCAGGCAATGGTTCGAGGCCACAGTTCACTCTAGCATGGGGCACTATGACAGGCCCAGGGGGATGGGCCTGCCATAAATCCAAACCCATGCATTGCAATGCTTTTTAAAACATTAGGTGACAGATGCATGAAAAACTATTCTGATACAAGACATTACTACTTAACCCAGTCAGACAAAAGTCCTGGTCATAGGAGACCCTCAATACAGAATACTGTCTACTTTGATCAAAAGAACAGAAATTTCATTCTATTCCACACATCTATTTTGTCTGATATTTGGGTCTAAATATAAATTTATATATGTTTGTATATTTTGTAGCTCGACTTAATACATCATTAGGAACTTGGGCTTTCAAGTATTAATGAGTCCAAGTGTTTTTACATGTCTAGAAGAGAATTTGCATTTGATTTAAATATTACATAAGGGAATCAGGCTCAGACAACACACTTGCCAGCCCCCAACCACAGCTAGGTCACTCCATGCCTCAGTTTCCTACTGCAGAGAATGGGTATGAGGACTAAATGAGTCCACATTTGGAAAGAGCCTAGCACAATGGTGGACACACAGAAATCGCCTTTTTAGGAAAGTAACCCACAGATGTGCTAACACTTATCCCAGGGCACTACTGGGAATGAGAGTGTAATTACAAATCACACCATTCATGAACTCTAAACACGCTCCCCGATGATGACAGAGGCTGGGGTTTAGTAATTTGTTGTAAGACATGTCCCTTTAACACGCACACAGAGTAGGTAACGTTTCCACAGCAGGCGAGAAGGAGACTTCCCTTAGCCATGGACACAGAGAGAAGAGTTCACCACAAATACAGATGCGGTAATAATGACTAGAGCCACACATACGGGGTTCTGAGACGATTTCAAACTTATGTCTTCAACGTGTACTTAATCTTAATACGCAGACAACTTTGACTGTCTGCTAATTTGGGAAGTCAAAGTCAGGGATGAATGGTGATATGAGGGTTAGAATGATTACACCGTGCGAACCAGTGCCTCAACCGAGAGGTCCTGGCACTGTCTGGAGGCCAACGCTCCTCCTGGCTCATGGTTTATGGGGGCTGCGGTAGAGCTGAAGCCTCCTTCGTGATTTTCAAGCATGTTAGATTCTCTAGTCAGTGGCATCTGTGAGGTGGAAGACTCAGGAAGGGATATGCGAGGGGGTCAGGGCACCTGCTTATAAAAAACCACCCACCCACGGCTGGGACCACCCTGGCTGAACTGCCTGGCTCCTATCTGCCTTGGGACGCAGGCCGGCCCCCACCTCCTTCACAGAACACTGAGCCACAGGTCAACCCCAAGCCGCCTTCCCTCTGCCTACATCAAGAAGTCAAAGCTGGAATCCTAGCAGGGGCGGGAGCGGGTTCATCGGCCACTTGCTGTGGCCGCCTCGGCGGCAAAGCCAAAATAAACACCAGCCACTTACTAACCTGGGAGTGGGGTGGGACTGGGGCCAGCAAAAGCAGCGACTCAGCAGCTTCACTCACCACACAGTCGTCGATGAGTTCCGTGAGGCGTGTCCGGTGCTTCCGTCCTAACCGCATGATTTTCTTCCACGTGTAGTAGTACTCCACACACTGAGCCACTGTCTTAGACTTCACCTGCCAGAAAGCCATCTCAAGGTCAGCACCAGCCGTGGGCAGGGTGCAAAGCAGCAAGTGTTGGTGAAAATTTAATTTTGTAATAGGTGATAGGCTTACGTGGTTCAATGAAAAATGTATATAGAGAAAAGTCTCCTTCCCACGCCAGTTCTCCATCCACCCAGTTCACTCCCCGCCCTGCAGCACAGCCAGCCCCTCTTATTAACTTCTTGGATATCATTCCAGAATTCCTTTACGCATACACCAACAAACACAATCCTTCCCCACTTTCCTGACAAAATGCAGCGCATGCATATTTTGCAACTTGATTTTTTTCACAATATAGCCTGGCCTGGAGATTTTTCACGTCCGTCCGTAGCGAACTCATTCCTTTTGTTAACCCGTAAAGCAGCATGCTCTTTCATTAAGCATGCTGGGATGAATCTGGTTGTCTGATTTGTTGACTGGCTTGCCGAGCTTCAAAACCTATCTATGAGAAATGTTCCTTAGTCATCGAACAGGAACATAAGGCAAAGTTACAATGAAAAGAGCTCAGTTTTTGTAGGAAATAAACCTTGTTCTATTTTCCCCAAAAGGGGCAAAGGTAAATGTGTTTTAAAGATAAAAAATTCCTTTGTTTTGTTCATATATCTCTAAGCTCAAAGTGCAGTTCGATAGCATGGGTTTTCTGGAGGCAGGTGAAAGGTGGGCAGTGCCCTTAGGGGTGGGGGCATGGCCACCTGCGAGGTGAGGTGAGGGGGATGCTGCCCAGGAGTCTTGTCTCCTCAACGCTGCCCCCGTCACAGCCACCTGATACCGTGAATTTCTATTCCAGAATGGCCCAGGGAGTGAGGACAGTGTCCCAGAAAGCTCTTGCTTAAACACCTGTGTCGCCTGACAAGCACAGTCAATAAAGCGTGAGGCCTAGGACAGGTCAGTCCTGGGGAAGGTGACTCAAAAAAGATGAGAGCATGGGAGCTGCTGGGCAGGGGATGTTCTGGCCTCCAAGGGAGTGAAAGGTAAGAGTGAATACAGATCTGGAGATGGAGGTGAGCTGGAGAAAAAGTCCACCTAATCTGATTCTTGTCCGTCAAGGCCCTTGGTCAAGGACATGTACCTGGAACACCATTGGTACCAGTGGTCTAGCTTGGAGCCAATGGGAGCTGTCTGTCACCTGTCACCCTCATTTCTGTGGACCCGAACACCTTCATGACCTTAGTAATACAATGTGGCTTCATCATCCGTTGGTCTGCTAAAACGTACTTGGAATCATTTTAACTTTTAGCTGAACCATCTCTCAGCCAATTATGGCCTATTGGGTTTATTGTCTGCTGTATAAAGTGCTTTTTCATCTATGGGAAAGAATTTGATTTGCTGTGAAATGATATATATGTATTGTTTTTACCATTACTGTCACTATAATTAGAGGCCCAATCCCAGAAACTCTGCTCCTGGCTAGGGGAGGGCACATGTCCTCACTTCTCCAATTTCCCAGAAAAATATTCTGTCGGAGACAAGACAGATCTGTCAAATATACATGAAATAAATTATGTAAATTGTGAACCAGAAGCCTGAGTTCTATTTTAATCTAACAGAATGTATAAATTACACATTTTTATTAGGATAAAAATAACCCCCACCACTACCATGTCCAAACAATCTGTCCCCCTCCCCCGACGCCCCCGACACTGGGGCCATGCCACCCTGTAACAGATGCCACCCTTCACCAGCAACGGGGGGAAGGCATCCTTTTGGGAGAGGATTAGGCCGGTAACCAAATACTTCTATATAGCTTTAGGTGTACAATATCCCAAATTCAGTTTCAAGGGAGCCATGGGCAGAAGCATGCTTACCATCTTCTGTACAAAAATAAAGTCTTTGCTGTAAGTGGCTAGTGCTTTATTAAACAGTTTTCTTTCTAGGGAGGTCCACTTGTCCGAACCTACAAGAGAACACAAACTTCATGACAACAGTTCACAGCTCTCCCCACTTTGCTGCTTCCAGCTTCACAGATCTCCCCAGCTTAATGGCTGGTTCACTTACTTAAGTTACGAAAACAAATAACATAATACCCATCAAACTCTTTTTTGAACAAAAAGCCAGTACAGTGTAATGGTTAGCAGCTCTGACACCTGGGTTCATCTCAGCTATGACCTTGACCGTGGCACATTATTGAACCTAAAACTCAATTTTGTTACCAACGAATGGGAATAATTCTAATTGTCCCTTCCTTTTAGAATTTTCGTAAAGGTTAAAGATAATGCATGAAGTATCTAGCTTAGTAACTGGAGTGTTTAACAAATTTTAGTTACGGTTTTCATGTAGTTATGATGTTCACAAGCACAAGCATTCACGTAGCACATGCTCCTCAAGATGTGGTTCACAGTGCGGCGAGGAGACAAACTAGGAGGCCGCCGCATTCACAGTGATGACGGCAATGACGAATAGAGGTGTCAGGTGCCCGTGGGGCATGAAGGAGGAACACCCCCCTCAGGCCGGGGGAGGGGCAGCCAGAAGGCTTCCAGGGAAAGAAGACACCTGAGTTGAGTCAAGGACAGGGAAGCAAGTCAGGCAAGGAGATGGAAGGGAATTCTAGGGAGAGGAAGTGTGTGCCAAGTCAGAGGCAAGCAGCCTTCCTCCCTTCCTTCCTTCCTTCCTTCCTTCCTTCCTTCCTTCCTTCCTTCCTTCCTTCCTTCCTTCATCTAGCCGTTCAACAAGTATTTATTAGGTGTTTACTGCATGTAAGAAGCTGTTCTGGGAAAAAAAGGTGAACATTTGTAAGTGCTTACTACGTGTCAGGTTCTAAGTACTTCACAGGTGTTAGTCATTCGGTTCCCCCAACAACTCTGTCAGACTGGTGTTACCGTTACCCACTTTACAGTCGAGGAAATGGAGGTGTTCAAGGAGTCTCGTGTGGTTCAGCTACAGGGCTGCAGCAGAGGGGGAGCAGATGGGACCAGTTTCTGACAGATCTGCAGACTAATGCTGGTGCGTCTGTCTCGCTGACTAACCTTGACATTCAGGACTATTTCCTCCGTGAAAGCGAAAGCAGGATATGCAGATGCTCATAGAAAACGGCGCTGGGCTGTTTGGCCAAGAAATAAGGCCTATTTCTGAGGGGAATCCTATTTTTGAGAGCTCCAGGGCTCAATCACTGTAGCTGATTTGCAGACGAGCCAGCCCCGTCCTGCTGGTTTTTTGAACTCTTTTATCTTTGTTTCTTTGGATGGTACATGGCTGGGCTTTCCACTTCCCTCCACTTCTCAGGGCTGTAATTCCCCAAACCATAGTATTGTTTTTCCTCCCACCCAGGACAAGCCCAAGGTTTTTATTTTGCTATGGCTGACTGATGGGGCTGAAGTTCAGGAAACCTGATTTGCTTCTTTCCTTGGAAGAATCAGCCAAAATTAGTGAAATCAGGTGAAACCACCCTGGGCAGGCAAGGGTGGAAACTCTGGAAAATGGGATTTAGATTTCTGAAATAAACCCCTTATCC